ATAAGCCCGAGAGGGTTCTTGCCTATTTAGAGAAGAATTCTAAATACCGGCACAGATAAACGAGGCAGCATGGTACATTTTAAGCCTTTATTTAGTGTAGGAGGTATCTAGGAAAGTGAAGGCCTTAGTTCAGGTAGGGGAGAGGGGAGAGTCTGGAAACTAGGGTAGCGTCCATACCACTCAGAGAGCAGGCCAAAGCCACGTGTAGCAAGCACCTTGATCTGCTATCCACCGCTTATCACCGACAGCAACGCAGAGGCAGAGTGCGTTCTGCGCCCCTCCCTGCCTTTTTATACATTTTCCACAGGGAAGTGGCTTGTGTCCAGGTGGGCACTCAGGTATGGTCAGGTAGAGCCTGATGTCACATGGGGGCATGGTGGGGGTATCAGGTGGGGTGTAAGATCACCTAGAGCATGGCGAAGGTATCAGGTAGGGCGTGAAGTCACACAGGGGCATGGCAAGGGGGTGGTCTTCCAGCTCACAAATCTAATCAATTTTAGCCTATATGCCTGCCTGCTTCATTCCCCCCTCAGAGACTCCAGACCTTAATCTTCAGGGGATGTTGATGGGCGTCGAGTCTCCATCTTCTGTAGCTGCTTCCTGCTGATTATGGGTGCAGACCCTGCCTGTTCTCGGTCCGGAAGTCTCTGCCTATCTCATCTAATGAGTTCACTTCACGAGCTGGATCTCTTTCGGTCACCACCATCCTCCGTGTCTCCTGCCTACTTTACTTTCAGTGCTTTAAATTAAATAAGAAAGCCCACAACAGAATTCACTTTTCTGAAGTACTCTTTCGTCTCTGAAATGTGACACTTGGCTGTTGTTTCCATTTACTGTTTTTAAGTACGGAATCTATTTGCATGAAAGGAAGCTCTGGATTGCCTGGGAGTTCATCTGCTCCTATTGCATTCTCTTCTCTTCAGAATTCGTATTCATAGTTCAGCTTGCTGTCTTCAACAGTTTGACAGACCTCTTGTCCCTTCACTGTCCTCTCATCATTCCCAAGAAAGAAGATTATTTTTAAAGTAGTTGGTCAATTGGACTTGAAGAGCCACCAAACCATGTTGTGCCTGTGAGGTGTGGGGGGTGGGAGTGTCCTGTGATTGAAAATAAGCTCCTGGGAATTATTAAGAGAAGAGGTGGTGATCTTAAGAGTGAAAAGGTGGTGAAGAAAGGGGACCTGGGTTCTTGGAACGAAATTTCCATGCAGATAAGGCAGTGAAAAAGCAAGGTGTGTTTAGGTCAGACACCTACCACAGTAGCTAGGAGGGGGGCTGCAAGAGAGGCAGACCAAGAAACTATGATGGTCGAATCTTTTAAGCATGATTTTGGAGTTGGGGGGGGGGTACAGAACAATGGCTAACAATCAATCGGAGGGTGGGGACAAATCCCCGAAAAAGGCTGGAATCATAATCCTTTCTAGATTGCTCATGATAAAACAAACAAAAGCCATCAGAAGGGTGGAATTGTCTGTTTTCATGGTAAACAGAAGGGTGAAATCACTGCTTCCTTGCTATTTTCATGATAAAACTGGAAACTCAGAGGAGTGTGATCAACACTTTTTTCTTGCTAAAGGAAGCTTTTGAGGAGAAGCATGCATTTTGCACTCTCTTAGAGACTTCTTCTTCCTTCATTCTGACCAGGACCGACCTAACTGCCTATTAGTCCATCTACCCCTCACAGTGATAGCCCCTCAAAGATTGTCTCAGAAAGGAAAGACAGTCTGATTCTCAGGATTAAATATTCTAAGTTACTTCTTTGCATAAGCTTTTGTCTGGAAAGTTGTTCGTGTGTTTCTTCTTTAGCACTGCTTTGAGTTGAAGGAAATACAGACCAGTGTATAGTCTTCAGGCCAAATATTATTCTGTTAAAACTTGGTTTGAAATCTTAGTAGAGTCTTATATCTCCTAGTCATACTGCTGCTACTTAGTTCTTGATGTTGGTGATGCCTTGTTAAGGTTTTGAACCAAGGAAAATAACAATTATTATCACAATGCCTAAGAAAATGGACAGAGGAATATGGTTGAGATGAGAGACTCCTAATGAGACTATGGAGATGACCATGTACCAACCAATATCACTACTGGAAAGCCAATTCAAAAGGAGGGAATAGGCTCTTTCTGCAACACTCTTCATTGCATCACTTGGAAATCAGACATGTGTCTTGGTTCTGTGTTTGCCGCCACTATTGTAGATTTTCAGAAATTATTTAATGTTCACCAATATTTTTAATAAACATTTTATTTTAATGTGTATTTATGTTTATTTTAAAGAGCAGAGTGAGAGGGAGATATAGAAAGAGAGAAAGAGAAAGAAGTCTTACCAGTCACTTGCCAAATGCCTGCAAAAGAGCAGTCTGGGTCAAACAGAAGCTAGGAGCTAGAAACTCCACCTGGGTCTTCTTCCTTGTGGGCAGGGACTCAAGTACTTGAGCTATCATCTACTGCCTCTCAGGATCCAGTTGCAGGAAGCAGGATCATAAGCAAAGAAGAGGGAATTTAGCTGGCACTTAGATATAGGATATGGGTGCCCCAAGTGGCGTGCCACAATGTCCACACTTAATTGTCATCTATGACTGCCCTTTCTGTCTCAGAGAAGGTGATCCTTGACTCTAGCCCTGCTTTTTCCCTCCTCTAGTTATTAGAGAAAACTGTATTGTTGCTTATTTCCTTGGCTTGGGATATTTGCTTCTTTTGCTTTTCTTTTTGAATATATAATCCTTCCTAAAGATTTGCTTATCTTTTAGTAATTCTTCCTAATCTACTTAACTGACTTTATTTAATTGCATTACAGTGAGCAGATCATTACAAATCAGCATATTATTTTGTGCAGAAATGTATCTATAATTTGCCTTGGCTAAACTTGATACACAAGAGGTTGTGGGTCAGTGTTAACTATTTTTTTTCTCAGTTGTTCCTATATCATGCATATGGATAAGACCCAGCTCCAAGGTTAATCTTACATCATTAAAATGTCTTCCTAGAGTATTTTTCTTTGAAGAAGCTTGGTGGTGGCATTAATTGCAGATAAAAGACCATGACCTATTATAGAATGTAGAATATTTTCTTAGAACATTATTGGAAACTCTCAGTAGTGACATAAAAATCTTTGTCCTGGGCAGAATCAATTACAACCAACTATGCCCACTCTGAACAAAAGAACATTTGTGTTCACGTTCCAAGGCTGATGTTGAATGATAACATTTTTGCATATCTTAAGAATTTTTATGCAGATGCTATGTAAAGGCAAAAAGAACTTTCACAATAATCCGCTTTGTGAATAGAATTTGCACTCTTGGCATGTGTTGCCTTTTCAATATGCCTGTCAAGTTGTAAAAAATGACCTTTGACACTGTACAGGCAGAAACAAAACCAGAGATTGTTTCCCCTATTCACAGCAATGTTTGTCATCTTTATTCTTTTGACATGCCATTCTACCTTAAATAAAAATACAAAATTATTATTTTATAAATAAATTTCTAGGATTTGGGTTTTAAGAAACAATCTACTTTAATTTTTACCTAGGTCAGTTATAGAGCCGTCTCTGCTGACAGACAACGAAGGAACATTAGGTTGACAAAGGAAAAAATATCTACTAATTAATATATTTTTTCCATATTACTTTCCCACTAAAATGTTATAAAAGTCAGGAGTGAGAGTTTGGCCTAGTAGTTAAGATGTCCGCTACCACAGCAGAGAACCTGAGTCTCAGTTCTACTGGTGGTTTCTGATTCCAGCTTCCTGCTAATGTGGACTCTGGCTTGAGTAATCGGCTCCTTGTCATTATATGAGAGATCTAGATTGAGACCTCTCAGCTTTGATCTGACTCAGGTATTTGAGGAGTGAACCAGCATGTTTACCAGCAGATGGAAGCTCTGTCTTTGTTTGTCTGCCACTGTCTCTTTGTCTCCCTACCTCTCAAGTAAAAAAATTTAAAAAGAAAGCTTTTATATTCTCTTATAAAAATGGAACAGTTTTAAAAAATGATACTGCATCATTTTGGAGTGAGGGATGAAGAGGAAATGTTCTTTGGATTGAAAAGAATTGTAAAATCACTTGTCTCCACACTGTCAAGGTGAGTCATATACTGGGAAATTTGGACTGTATCAATATAATACAATTAGAAATAATTTAAACAGCAGAGATCCTACTTTAAGAATTTTTCAAATGATATTTTAATGCTTGATAAATGTGATTTGAATGAATTGTTCTCTATTTTTTAGGTAGTTAATTTGGTTTTATCAAACAAATTTGTCTTTTTTTGTTTGTTTTTGACAGGCAGAGTTAGACAGTGAGAGAGAGAGAGACAAAGAGAAAGGTCTTCCTTCCATTGGCTCACCCCCAAAATGGCTGCTACGGCTGGCACGCTGTGCCGATCTGAAGCCAGGAGCCAAGTGCTTCCTCCTGGTCTCCCATGTGGGTGCAGGGCCCAAGCACTTGGGCCATCCTTCACTTCCTTCCTGGGCCACAGCAGAGAGATGGACTGGAAGAAGAGCAACCAGGACAGAATCCGGCACCCCGACCGGGACTAGAACCCGGGGTGCCAACGCCGCAGGCGGAGGATTAGCCTAGTGAGCTGTGGCGCCGGCCCCAAACAAATTTGTTTGTGCATGTGAATATAGTTCTTGATAACTCAGTTCCATAAAATGAAATGACCCCCAAATCCCAAATCTACTTACTGTTGTTTAGTATTGATTTTGGTTGAAGGTTTTATTTTCCTTATGCCACAATGCTGACCTTGATTGAAATTATTTTGTATTGAACTAACAGAATTATAGATGATATATTTTGCAAAGCCCCAGAGACAAGAAAACTAAGAAATTTTTTCACAGAATTATTGAAGGGGATATAAATACATATCTCTAATAAACAATGCTCATTTTGACGTGCATATTGGATTTTTTTTTACTATGCAAAAACACTATGGTGAACATATTGAAAGTAAAAAATACTAACTATTGTACAGACATTTAAATTTGCTATGCTTTCTTTCTTCAACAGTACAAATCCAAGTGGAGGAAAAAGATGATACTGAAGAAAGTTCAAGTAAGTAGGGATGGGCCTCCCTGGCATATGTTTCTTGTAGAATACCACTAAATTCAACCCCTATAGTATGGGTTTGAACAACCACATAAAAGCAAAGGAGCATATGTGGATGATTTTTTTATGGTCTGACAAAAGAGATTAGCTCCAGCAAACAGAATCCCCATTCTAGATTCTATTCCATTGGCACACATACACATCCTCCCAATTTATAAATTGTTCATGGCAAAGTAGATGGTAGTGCAGAAAACTATTTGCTTTTTACTTCTGTCCTATTTTCCCTGGAAAAGCTTTTGGCTCAAAAAGCTTACTCTAAGACTGAATCTATAAAATGTAACAGATTGGCAATTTTGACTGAACTGACCAGGTACTTCAACTAAAATGAATGACCATGTTCCTTTGTACCAAATATATGTTTGTTTTATCCAAATTGTTCCATTGTTTTTACTTTGTGTAGGTTTGGCTGAAAAGCCTGAATTCACCCCTCTCAAGCACCCAGACCACTCAAGGATAGAAATATGAGAAAGACCATTATATGAGCAAAAGCTGTAATTTTATAAAAACAAACAAAAGCAATATCTAAAGAAGAGTTCAGTTAGAGGGACACTGAGGCTATCAATTTAACACCCTGAGCACAACACGGCAGCCACTGAATGCTCACAATGACAACTGCTTGCATTAAGCGGTTGCCTCCTACATGAAAACCTCTGAGTCCAACATAGATTCTGCACCATAACTTGACTGGTGAATTGAGTCCATTCTAAAGGCAGTATTGTACACAATTCTGCATTCAGTAGGCAACCATAAAATAGTATTTTTTAGAATTGGAATATTTGGAAATTAGATAAAGCACTGAAAACTTTTTTTTTCTAAAGAGTAATAGATAAAGTTAATGATACACAATTCATCCACGGCAAAGCATGCAAGTTTATTAGTTTTATCTTTTTTTAAAAAATGACCTCAAGTAAATTTATTTCTAGATTCTTCACAATTACATACATCTGTTGTTGCCTTTTGAAAATTCTTAAAACCCATTTTTAAATTTCATTCCACTATAATTAAAACTATGCCATGTATGATTCCATGAATTGAGACTTGTGTTATGGCTCAGAATGTGATTTATTCTGGTGAATGTTCCATGTGCATTGAATGTATGGTCTCTGTCATTAGGTAGAGAGTTTTCTTTTTAAATATTTAGCCTAAATTAGTGTTGTTTAAGTCTTTAATAGCTATTCTAATTTTTTTACTGTGCTAAGAGCTCATATTATGAAATCTACTCTTACCATCATAAAAAAATTTTAAGTGTACAATATAGCATTGTTAACTAACATTGTACCTCAGTACCTGCAATGGATTGGTTCCAAGACCCCCAGTAGACACCAAAATCCATGGGATATTCAAGTTTCTTATATAAAATAGCATAATATTTGCATGTAATCAACACAGTCCTATATACTTTATTTTTTCCCAAAAAACATTTTATTTAAGGAATACAAACTTCATGCTTTCCATAAATACAACTTTAGGAACATAGAGATTCTTCCATGCTACCTGCCCTCCCACCCACACTGCCACCCCTCTTCCTCCTCCATCTCCTATTCAAATCCTTATTTCTTACTAAGATCTATTTTCTTTCTCTTTCCTTCCTTCCTTCCTTCCTTCCTTCCTTCCTTCCTTCCTTCCTTCCTTCCTTCTTTCTTTCTTTCTTTCTTTCTTTCTTTCTTTTTGACAGGCAGAGTGGACAGTGAGAGAGAAACAGAGCGAAAGGTCTTCCTTTACTGTTGGTTCACCCTCCAATGGCCACCAAGGCTGGCTTGCTGCGGCTGGCGCACTGCGCTGATCCGAAGCCAGGAGCCAGGTGCTTCTCCTGGTCTCCCATGCGGGTGCAGGACCCAAGCACTTGGGCCATCCTCCACTGCACTCCTGGGCCATATCAGATAGCTGGACTGGAAGAGGGGCAACCAGGACAGAATCCGGCGCCCCGACTGGGACTAGAAGCCGGTGTGCTGGCGTCGCAGGCGGAGGATTAGCCTATTGAGCCATGGCACTGGCCAAGATCTATTTTCAATTAACTTTATACACAAATGATTAACTCTAAACTAACTAAGGAGTTCAACAAGGGCTGTTCAAAGTCATTGTATCACAATGTGTTATTTTACTTGTATAGATTACTTTTTAGTTGTTCTATTAGTTATTACAGGTCAGGAAGAACATATGGTATTTGTCCTTTTGAGACTGGCTTATTTCCCTAAAAATGATGTTTCCCAGTTTCATCCATTTTGTTGCAAATGACAGAATTTCATTTTTCTTACCACTGTGTAGTATTCCATAGTGTCCATTTCCCATAATTTCTTTATCCAGTCTTCAGTTGACAGGCATTTGGGTGGATTCTATATCTTAGCTATTGTGAATTGTGCTGCAATAAACATGGGAGTACCGATAACTTTCACATGCTGATTTCATTTCCATTGGGTAAATTCCCAAGAGTGGGATGTTTGGGTTATGTGTTAGGACTGTATTCAGATTTCTGATATCTGCATACTGTCTTCCACAGTGGCTGTGCCAGTTTACATTCACACCAACAGTAAGATTAGGGTACCTTTTTCCCTACATCCTCGCCAGAATTTGTTGTTTTTCTTTGATTTCTATATGAAAGCCATTCTAACTGGGTGAAGTGAAACCTCATTGTGGTTTTGATTTGCATTTCCCTGACAGCTAATGATCCTGAGCATTTTTTCATGTGTGTGTTGGCCATTTGGATTTCCTCATTTGAAAAATGCCTGTTCAAGTCCTCTACCCATTTCTTAACAGGGTAGTTTGTTTTGTTCTTGTTGAATTTCTTGATTTCTTTATATATTCTGGTTATTAATCCGTTATCAGTTGTATAGTTTGCAAATAATTTCTCCCATTCTGAAGGCTGTCTTTTCACTATGCTGAGTGTTTCTTTCGCAGTACAGAAGCTTCTCAATTTGATACAATCCCATTTGTGAATATTGGCTGTGATTGCCTGTGCCTCCTAGGTTTTTTCCAAGAACTCTTTGCCTATGCCAATGCCAATGCCTTACAAGGTTTCCCAAATGTCCTCTAATAATTTGATGGCATTGAGTGGTAGGTTTACGTCTTTAATCCATTTGGAGTGGATTTTTGTGTAAGGTGTAAGGTAGGGGTCTTCCTGCATACTTCTCGCATATGGAGATCCAGTTTTCCCAGCACCATTTGTTGAAGAGACTTTCCTTGCTCCAAGGATTGATTTTAGCTCCTTTGTCAAAGATAAGTATGTTGTAGATGTGTGGGTTGATTTCTGGATTTTCTATTCTGTTCCATTGGTCTATCCATCTGTTTTTGTACCAGTACCAGGCTGTTTTGATTATAACTTCCCAGTAGTATGTCTTGAAATCTGGTATTTTGATGCTTCTGGCTTTGTTTTTGTTTTATATGATTGCTTTAGCTATTCAGGGCATCCTGAATTTCCGTAGGAATTTCAGCATCTTTTTTTCTATATAACAGAAGAATGTCATTGATATTTTGATTGGTATTGCATTGAATATATAAATGGCTTTCAGTAATATGCACATTCTGATGATATTGATTCTTGTAATCCAAGAACATGGAATATTATTCCATTTATTTATGTTTTCTTTTTTGCTTTCTTTAATGTTTTGTAATTTTCATCATAGAGATCTTTGACATCCTTGGTTAAATTTATTCTAATGTATCTGATTTTTTTGCAGCTATTGTGAATGTGATTGGTCTATTGTCTGTGTATATAAAAGCTATTGATTTTATGTGCTCATTTTATATCCTGCCACATTACCTAACTCTTCTATGAATTTTAATAGTCTATTAATGGAGTCTTTTGGATCTCCTTTATAGAATCCTTTCATCAGAAAATAGGGATAGTTTGACTTCCTCCTCCCAATTTGTATCATTTGATTTCTTTTTCTTGCCTAATGGCTCTGGGTAAAACTTCCAGGACTATAGTCAATAGCATTGGTGAGAGTGGGCATCCTGGTCTAGTTCTGGATCTCAATGGGAATGCTTCCTTCTTTTCTCCATTCAATAGGATGCTGGTTGTGGGTTTGTCATAAATTGCCTTGAATGTCTTGAGGATTGTTCCTTCTAAACCCAATTTGCTTAACGTTTCCACCATGAAATGGTGTTTCATTTTATCAAATGCTTTCTCTGCAGCTATTGAGATATTCATATGATTTTTTTTCTTCACTTTGTTAATATGATGTATCACATTGATTGATTCATGAATGTTGAACCATCATGCATACCTGGGCTATATCCCACTTGGTCCATGTGAATAATCTTTCTGATGTGTTGTTGGAATCAATTGGCTAATATTTTACTGAGGATTTTTGCATCTATGTTTATCAGGGATATTGGTCTAAAGTTCTCTTTCTTTGTTTTATATTTTTCAGATTTAGGAATTAAGGTAATGCTCGTTTCATAGAAAAAATTTGGGAGGATTCCCACCCTGTCAATTGTTTTGAATATCATGGGAAGAATTAGAGTTAGTTCTTCTTTAAATGTCTGGTAGAATTCAACAGTGAAGGCATCCAGTCATGTGCTTTTCTTTGATGGGAGGGTCTTTATTACTGATTCAATTTTAATGTTAGTTATCAGTCTGTTTAGGTTTTCTGTGTATTCATGACTCAATTTAGGTAAGTTCTATGTGTCCAGGAATCCATCCATTTCTTCTGGGTTTCCACATTTGTTGGCATACAGCTCTGTGTAGAAATTTCTGATGATTCTTCTTATTTCTATGGTATCTGTGGTTACATTTCATTTTTCATCTAAAATTTTATTGATTTGAGCCTTGTCTCTCTCTTTTTCTTCTTTTGGTTAGTTTGGCCAGTGGCATGCCAATTTTGTTTATTATTTTTTTTTCCAAAAAACCAGCTTTTTGTTTCTCTAATCTTTTGTATTGTTTTTGTGTTTTTTTTGGTCTCAATTTTGTTTATTTCTTCTCTAACTTTAATTATTTCTTTTTCTCC